CCAGCACAGCTGCTTGTAACAGCGACGAGAGCAATTCCAACAACTTAACAAGCGTATTAACACAACCGTTGTCTGTGATTCACTTTTATTTGCATGGCTGTGACCAGGAAAAGAAATATCGTGAAGAGTCAGTACACTCACTTGAAATCAGCGCTTTCATTAGGATAATCATTGTGTGAGCCTGTTCTCAATTATCGTCAATTCTAACCCAAAGACACCTTTTATTAAAGTAAAACCAGTTTCAATCATTTAAAATAGACTTCTGCACAGTGTGAAAATATAAACAAAAGAGAAAGGATAGCTTGGAGGACGACGTGTCAACCGCTAAAATAACGAAGATAGCAGAGAAAGTATGAAACAAATAGGGACGGAGTCAGTGCCAGTAGCAGCTAAATGCCCAAACTCAATGGAGCCAAGCACCCCCTTCAGGTGCCCACTGAGGATTCTTCTCAGGTCTGGATTTGCTCTCTATTGCACTTAAAGGATGTTTTTTTCCACTCTCGTTAGTGCTTCTCTCTGGTACTAACACAGCCTCTGAAGTTAAACTTAGCAGAGCATCATTCTGAATTTATTCACAAAAACTACAACAGAGTGTCATCCTTGCTTCTGAACTAGCACAGTCATACCAGAATGGCAAGGATCTCGTTAAGCAGCTAACTTCTCCACTTCAGCTCCATCTTTAAACTCTCCCATTTTTTAATATTTTTGCCAAGACATGAGAAGACCTACCAGGGACCAAGCAGAACACGGTATTAACTACCGCTGCCATTCAGTTAGCATAAGTGGGGCTACAAGACTTCCAAGGAAAATAGTGGTGTGGATAAAGTCTTGGAAAACATTTCACTAGGAAAATCAAGGGTCATGATTGTAAGATTTTGTCTTAACTAAGATACTTGCACATTTCAAGTCAAAGTTGAGTATTGAGTCTACTGGCACGACGTTAAACATAGCGGTTCCTATTTGTACTGACAGCAAACAATTAATCATTGCTCAAGAAAACAATCTTTGAGGTTCTCTTCATACACACCCACACTTCAAACAGAGGCGAGCTGCGAGGCAGCCCCTGTAGCACTAATTACCAGCTCTTAGACAGGTCGGTATCCAGGGAACCACATTCTACAGATGAAGCAAACTTGTGGAATTCAAAGAAAATCAAGTCTGGTTAACTGACACATGGTCCTGAATTTACAGTTTGGTTTCAGGGGTTTTTTTGTTTGTTTCTTTTAACACTTCAAATTATTTTTCCATAAAATCATACCAGCAAACTCCACTAGGAAGTTCTCTTACCAGTACAGTTTAAAATGGTCACAAAAACTGAAAGAACTATCCCTGCAAAAGACTTCTTGTTTTTAAACAACTGTACCACAGGAGGGTTTCTGCTAAGATCGGGACCTCCGTAAAGGTTATGGGGGTATTTGGTTGAGGTTGCTTTGGTTGTTGTTGTTTTTTGTTTTTAAATATATCCCTTTATGAGTTTAGCTATATCTTTAGAAATTTATATATTAGATTTATAAGGAACATTTTATAAGTGGTTCTCTTCCTTATCTCAACTTGCTGACATAGATTGTACCTAATGAAATCAACACAAGTAAAAGAAAATCACATAATTATGAATGAGGTCTACAGTTGTAGAAATATTCTTTCCATACATTCATACATCAAAATGAAAACGAACTGGCAAGACAAAAACATAGTTATGCTTATATGACATGCATTAAGGACTAGTTTGTAGCAGCTTCTTTGGCACTCAAATGTCAAGAATATCAGTTTTCATTTCCTCTTTAGCATTTACTTGAAAAACTTTGGGATGCAATATGTCAAGATATTAAACCTTAGTAACAACCTGAAAGGATAAAAAGAGGAAAAAAAAAACCAGCACAAATGAAAGACAGACTTCTTTTCAATAAACACAAGCAACTCAATGTGTAATTTCGCCTATAAAGATAAAATCCCTAATATAAAACAAACCCACAGTACTATAAAACCAGCAAAAGCCTTTTTTCAAATCCCTCTTAATTTAATACTAGGCACCCAATTCAGATTAATGTGAAACCGTTGAAAGGCCAAGGAGGTGAAATGACTGAGGTGCAGTCTCAGGGCTGGTAAATATTGATAAAAAGATCGAGCTGGAATCATAAACGGATGTCAGCATTACTATACTTTATATTGCTATACCAAAAATTTTGACCGATCCAACAACTGTGTACAGCTGGGTGGATTTTTCACCTCCTGACAAATCAAAGAAATACAAATAAGTTAAAAGCAATCGTGTCATCATCAGCTTGAATAACTGAGAACTGTCTCTTCAGATCGAATGTCAAAAGCAGTACTTGTATAGGTAATAGTAAAAAAAAATTGGCTATCAACGATGCAGTGTTGAGAATTTCATGATTTCTTGTAAAACTTACCACAAAGCAATAATACTTCACTTTAACGACCCAATAAATAGTTCTGAACAGCCTTCTAACATTATCTGATATTGAGTTAGACCAAGCAGAACAGAGGAGAAAAAGAGTAAAGCAGGTACACAGAGGTACTGAAAAAACTACAAGTCCTATTTCATTAGTATCCCTGAAAGTCAGTCTCAAAATGCTTTTTGAAACTACATAAACTTAGCAATTTTCTTTAATTTCTAATAAAATAGTTGATATAATTCTTGCATGGCAGATGAACAACACATAGGTTCATCATGAAAAGGAATCAATTTAAAAAGCAACCTCATGAGACCCGTAACCTAGCTACAATTAAATGGCATTGCTTTAAAAGCATTTATAAGTTACTCATCACCACAAGACCCAAGAATCATCTTTTCCTCCCCCACATACTGTAAGACAAAATTGTTCCTTGTGAAATTTCAAGTCTTTCTTCTCTTGTTGATATGTAGGGGAAAAAAGGTCCCAGGAAGAGTTTGGAGACAAAAGTCAGTAATTCCCTACCTTAAAAAAAAGCCCTTTATCCCTTTTGGTAGTTGGGAGAAAACACTAATGCGTAGCAACAGGAGAATTCTAATCACTGACAGCATCCTATCATCTAGTATATAAAAATAGTATGCTTCCAATTTCAGGATAACAGGAGTGGATAAGAGAGGCATTAGAGTGCTGCTAGTCACATTAATCATATATATTGATTGAATACTGAATGCCTTTTCAGTTTGTCTGACAAATTGGAATGGCTTCGGTAACCCCTCGCTCAAATGTGTGTTCTGTCTCATTCTCTTTTACATCATTCATTAGATCCCCTGGGAATACACAAAGGCTTTCTCTCCTGGCTGTCCCCACACATTTCTTTGCTTGCCAAATATTCAGGTGCCCTCTCATCCTCCCATTAACATCTTCCTGATCTCACAGCAAAAACCTGCAGTGAATTTAAAAATCCTTTTCCATATGCCTGCAAAATCATCCCCTTCTGCTGTTTTACTGTGCATGAAGAGGGCTGTGCTTCATGGGAGTTGTGTGTTACATGCCCTTTGAGAGCAAAAGTGACAGCAAGTGTCACAGGAGATACCATACTCCCTCGCCAAGTTTAACCTCGGGTACACCTACGCAGCTGTGACATGCAGAAGCTACTGACACGGTATACCGAGTTGACTTTTTTTAACTTGTCTTTAAAGATAAGACATTAGCATTCTACCATGCATTAAAAAAAAAAAAAAAAACCGTTGGTGAATTGTACTTTTCTAAAAATAGCTATATGGAGTGTCAAAAACCACTTTCTCAGTGTTCCATACCTGGTCTCGGTTGCATCTTGTTTGCCCGCTATACAGAAACACAACTGCAAGTACTACAGCCTCACGTAGACAGATAAAATCTAGGTGATTTGCATTCACTGCCTGTATTATGTCAACTGTAACAGTTTTGCATTAAAACTTAATTAGCTATACTAGTAGTATCCTTGGTTTTGTATTTGGCAGAATAAGGTTACAGTACAGTCTTCCCAAAACATGCTGAATAAAACAACTACGTCAAGCGTTTCAGGTATATTTAGACCATGCAGTAGAATAAACACTGCAAGATTATTCTTACAATTCACATTCTGAGTCTGAGTTTATTTGTACTTTAAAAAGTTATCTTAGACAACGCTCCCACCACAGATTATGATGCAAATTTCATTGAACTCAAAAGAACTGTTTGGGAATCTGAGGGAAGCCATGCCTTATGGTTCTTCATATAACATTACCCTGAGAAAGTTTCAGCAGCTACGCCAGCACAATTCAATTCCGAGACACTGAACCAAGAGACCGTTTCCTTCACAGATCTCAAGATCACATCCTTAAGATGGCTAAGGGTAACTTCTTCAAATGCTTGTAAAATCTTTCGTGTCACACTACAACCTGATTCTTTCTTAAAAAACAAACAAACAAACCAACCAAACCCACCCACATCTGATAAAATTTAAGCACATCAAATAGATTAATAAGCAAATGGCTGCGAAACAAGGAACTGGGTGATACAGAATAAGGCAGCAACGTTTCCCACAGAAATATTTCTGCATATCTGATTGTTGAAAAGGTCAGTGACATAAATTGTTTTCTCAGTTGTGCAGACACATTCTGCGGTATAATGTACCGCATAAAAACATCACTCATTCAATACAAGAATTCAAGGGCCTATGGAACTAGAATATAGGAAAAATAATTAAGGGGAAAAAACGAAACTGTAATTCTGTAGTGCATGGTAGAGTGAAATTAGGCAATTACATTCTGAAAGGTACATCTCAGAACATAATTGTTCAATACATAGATCTCTACATATCCGTCCATTTCTAACACCGGATTTTTAAGAACATGCATACCACGCTCTGTTGATTAAAGCAAGAAAAGAGCCTTTCATAGTTGGCACTTCTTCCTCGCACGTTTCACATTCGGTTAGACTGACGGTGATTTAGGAGTAGCTTCCTCCGTTTTAACCTCTGCAGCACCTTGATGTTTTCGCCTTCTCACATCACTTCACAATAAATGTTCCTGTGTTTTTCTGTATACTGGGCCAGGCATGGCATCTACATCAAATGCTGCTGTAGTCCGAGCCACGGGCAGCAAGAGTTGCTGCTGCTTCCCACTCCACTGTAAAGAAGGTAATTGTTCCAAAGAAGCCCACAACCACCATGATCAGGAGTTGCCACTGCAAAAGGACGTAGTTGCTGTAGAAATATGCAACTGCAGCACAGATGGACTGAGAGAAAACACACAGTATAAAAAGATTATTAGTGGAGATATCCAGGCTAGTATTACTATACAAGGATTATCAATTTGACATGCACACAGTTTAATATGCAACTCAGTAGTATGCTTATATAATCTTAAAACGTCATTATACCCCAACATATGTCTTGATATGATATACAACAGATTTAGTTTTTACTTGTTATTTAAAGTGTTCACTGCAGAAAGCAAACGCAAAACTCAAGAGTGTTTGTAGCATCACAATTGCAGTTCTCTGGTATTTGAAAACAGCTTGTCTAAGAACAACACTGCCAAGGCTTTCAGACAAAACCCGGAAGACTATTTCTAGTTTTACAGTGTCACAAGCTATTCTATAACAGCTAGAGGCTTTGACAAGCAGTGTTGCAATCTGTCCTTTAAGGGTAAAATTTTCATTAGAGCTCACACAAAGAATCTTTATATTCCACACCTATCTCAAATTCTTACCTATCACTGAGAATGATATAAAAATGGAGCAGTGCACAAGGAAAAAAATATCTTTTTGAAGCACACAGCTGTCGTCTTTTAAACTAGACACACTCTGACCTCTGCTCCCAGCATTAGTTGCTGTTGGTGTGACCTTGCATGAACAGTTTCGATGCTTTGCACCACTGTTTTTCTACTGATAATGCTGATCAACACAGATCTTGACCTGGAAAGTTCAGTACCAAACAAGATAAATGCCTGCGAGTGATCTATCCAAAATACAGCAGTTGTGTTCACATCGTATGAAGACTTTTCATTGAGTCTCCAGCTAGCAGAGATGCATTTATTTTGACATTCTGACAACTTAAGGACAGAAAAACAACATTACTTGATTCTTCTTCTGTCTGCATGCCTACCTGATAACTCCTAGTGATACAGTACAACATCGACAAACTCTTCAGCTATTCACTCAACTCGTTTCCTTTTAACTCACCCCCCTCTGTCAAAGACTTCTTCGAGTAAACAAATTCTGTAAATGATTATTTAAACAAACAAGTCTGGTTAACTGTACTAGCCTTTTGACTTTAAACTACAATTCTCAATGCTCCTAACTTCCCTCAAAACTCGTAAGTAACAGCAGTTCAATTATACAATCACACCAAGCTATACAATCAAGCTACTCCTACCTAAAAATGTTTCTCTCCTGTGCAAGGTAAAAAAACAGGCTGAAACCCTCTGTAGGAACAACACAGCCTTTCTCTGCTCATTAAAAAACCCAGCCCAGTATTTCCATAACATTCCAACAGTCATACTTTCAAAAGGCTGTGTCGTGTAATACCTGAACAAACTTAAAGATGGCAAAGGCAGGAGCGCTGTCTTCTGAATACAAGAATCCTAAAATACTGAGGAGCTGGGTGTTAAAGCAGCTGTCCCCCAGGCCCAACAGAAAGCTGCAGAATATGGCCACCTCTTTGCTGAAGGAGAAAATGAATCAAATTTAAAAGCCATTCATTCAAACAGCTTACACATCTAGAAACTATTTTTGGCAGACTTATTTGGAAACTGAGAATTGAAGAAAGTTATCAGGCTTTAAATTTCACTGGAAAAAGAACTGGGAACACTTGGCTTGGCAAAAAGAATAGTTTCATCAGATTTTAATTTCTTGAATGCTAAGACTTCTATTACCTCCAGTCAATTCTGCATTGAATTAGAACCACTAGAAGAACTCATTTTGGTGCTTGGAGCCACAAAGCCCACAGGGCAGTGATTAAAAGCTGAGACACACACGGCGAGTTCATAAAAACTACAGGAATATTAGAGAAATACCAATTCATTTTGCAGAAAAATACTCCAGGTAAATAAAGAATAGTCACCTGCACAGGCACAAATGCTTATAATTGCAAGTTAGCGGCTGCATCTGCACAAACTGGTAACTCTGTGTTCACACCAATTTGCAAAAAATAAACCCCAAAAGAAGGTTGCAATGATGAGGTAAGAAAGCTCCCTATATACCACTCAGTGTTAGGGGAAGAATAAGACAGGCACAGAATGGCTCCAATTAGATCAAGAGGACTTCGACAATAAGGATTCAAAGACTTAGGAAACCAGTGCAACAGTGCAAGGCTGGTGCTCCGCGCGGTAGTAAAACTGAGCCCAACACTGCTTTAAAATAAACTGAATTCCTGACACCGAGTACAATAGTTGCTGATCTCACTATTGTACTACATGTCAGGAATGTCAGTTCTCAAGTGACAGAATTGCTACCAAACATCCTCGTGCCTTTTATTCTTATGCCATTTAAGTTCCTAAATTGAGTGCACACTGGTAGAATATCTGCCTTTAATAAAAACAGAATTCCTGAAAGCTTTTTCTATGGAGTTAGTCACTACACAGAAAAGCAGCTTCAAAGAATTTTCTGTTAGAGGAACAATCTGTTTATATACATCTTGACTTACACGAGCCAAAGAAAGATGTTTACATACCTTGGAATCATATAAGCAACATGATCTGTTCCTTCCATAGGAGCGATAGGGGCATCATTTGGCATATTGAAAAAAATTAAATAAAAGGCAATGAAATGGACAACGATGCCTAGCATCACAACAGGGTTCCTGCCAAAGCGATTATTCTTGCTCAATAAACCAAAGATTCCTCCACCTGTATGAGTGGAAAAGATTGGATAATTAAATCAGAACTGAAGATGTAAAGAACAGAACCAAACCTAAAATACACACACACAAAAAAGCTGAAACCTGAGATTATAAGATTCTCCGTATTGGATAACCAGAAGATTGACAGACACAAAAACAGTCCCAAGGAGTTTGCCAGACCTGCCAGCCCCGTTTGGAAGATGACAGAACTTTTGGGTTGCTAGAGACGTCTGGGAAAGGCAGGCAGGAGATTTCTCAGATGATTGTCAATGAAGAAACTGAAACTTTTTGGAAATATTTTTCCAGCAACCACTGTTTCCTCCAGTATTGCAACAGTACTAAGTGAAAATGGATGACCTTGTGCTTAGCTCTTTTAATAGCAAAAACATGCATCTCTATGGCCACGAGTTGATACTGAACAAAGACAGTGGTTGGGGGTTTTTTGTGGGTTGTTTGTTGTGTTGCTAGGGTTTGTTGTTTGTTTTTTTTTTTAATGCAGTATTTGAGTAAAAAAGTAAAATTACTTAATGAACATTACCTGAATTCCATTTTATCCAAATATCAGATCTCATTTAATACAACCTAGCTTTCTTAAAGAAAGAAATCTTTAGCGTAATATTTTTTAATAAATTTAAAATAGTTACATCACTTAATAATAAAAATGTAAACAGAATACTATTAAAAATAGAATATCAAAATGCTGAAGATTCCCCAATAACATTGTAGCCTAGTGTTTCTCTCATTGTCTTACGTATTTCATAGCCATCTGTATTTCACATCCTAATCTGAATTCACTTTACACCATGTAATGTATAATTCACAGTGCAATAAGGAACAACATCTACAATTTTATTTCTTTCATTTTTTGTTTACATAATCATTGCTGAAAGCTTGAAAGACACTATTCATTAAAATACAAAAAAAAACCCCAACCATTTTGAGTAACTACATCATCTTAATCCTTTTTTTTTTTCTATAAGGTAGTAAATTTAGACTCACCTAAAATTTCTCCAACACCAATAAAAATACCAGAGAGTCCAATAAGGCTCTTCTCTTCACTGCCAAACCTATTCACAGCACCAATACATGTTCCATATACTCCAGAAAAGAACGTTAATTCCAAACCTTTGAAATAAACCAAACAAAACTGATAATGAACTATTATGAAAGTTACTATAACTCTTCATGTTTAAAGGCTGTTTTTTCCCCTCAAATACCTTTCAGCTACATATATTTAAATGAGGTACATATAGTAGAAGCAATTAGGGAATTTTAAACTATGTAATTACGATATGCTCCTATGCCAGCTTACAAAAACTATATTAGAAAAAAAACACTGTGTCACTAATCACTCTCACAAGACCTTTGGTTCAGTACTGCTTCTATTGACACAATCTCTACATACAGTTTATATTTCTGCTTTTCAAGAACTTTGGAACGTCAAGCGTATGGTTTTCCCACCAAGTTATGGCATTCCTAAAAGACTCCCTGCACCTCCAAATACCAAAAGAGTAAGATTCCTAAAATGGGCTGCTACTTTTCTATACATAACAAACTAAAACTGAGGAAAAACAACTGCTATTTGCCTAAACTCTTTCTGCTGCCACTACTGTGAGGAAAGGTGTCACAGCGGAGTCCAATTAGCATGACTGTAAGTGTTGAGAGATGTTAATTGTTTAACCTACATAAGTAAGCTTTAATTGGAATTGCTGTGTTTACTCCTTTAGTATGAGGAAAGCGTCAATAACACACTGATGTTTTGGAAGTGTTTTTCCCTAAGTCTGGGACTTTTCAGTTCCCCATGCTCTGCCAGTGAGCACAGGTACACAAGGAGGGCAAAGCAGAAGATAAAGAGGCTACAACCATCAGCAGAGACTGCAAATCAACAAGATAAAAAACAGTCAATGGTCATCCTGCCTGGACACACAGAGAGAATCCAAGGAGGTGTTAGAAGACCCCAGACCAGAAGTCACCATTGGACTAAAGAGGTGTGAACAGTGCGTGAGGGGCGGGTGTATAGATCACAAGGGTATCATTGCCCAGGGATTTCTTTGTTCTGCATCCCTCTCTGGAGGCACCCAGCCTGAGCTAATCCTGCTGCTGTACCTTTCAATTAAACTATGCATTTTTATTAAATCTGACACCTGACTGCTGCGGCAAACCTAGGGTTGAGCCTGAAGATAGAGGGAGCGCACTCCAAGAGTGTGTGCGTGAGGAGTCGGAAGACGCACACGTTGGCTCACTGCAGTCACCCGCTGCGAAGGGACCCTGGTCCGAGCAGTGACCGACGCAGGTGCTGTGTGTGCGACTCCTTGAATGTGGTGTGAATGCTCTGGCAACAGCTTCTCCTTTAACAATAAGCAACCATCAGTGTAAAAATAGCAGTTCCCTGATAGAAATTTTATTTAAAATAATGCAAATTGTTATGCCTAAACAAAGAAACACAGTTCAAAAATAGAACTGTTTCTAATTTACCTCCTTTGCATTTTGCTACTGCAAAAATAAGGTACACCATACTCTGGTCTACACGTAGTAGGCTACTGAACACGGTATATGAACTGCATAGCTTCAAAGAGCGGTGAACTTTGAGCAGTCTTAATAATCCACCCATCAGTCTCTGAAATAAAAGCTTGTGCTGACTGTTGGCCTTATGGGACTTTGTATTTTCGTACATAAGGTGGCAATACTGACCAAGAGCCACCAGATGGCAGCAGATATTTTTTCCAAGCTAGACTGATGGTTTTTATAGGTAGCAGGAAAAAAACCTAAATTTCAGATTAATCAGGCAACACCTGATTCACTCCCTCCCCTTGTTATCTTGCTTCACATTCCCATTGCACTAAACATCTAAGAGGAATGCAAGTTAGGTAATTTGGGTAACAACACTGAAGATGCTGTGAAGCAGCTAACTCGAATTAGTGGCTGGTGCAAGCTGAATTCATAGCTACTACTGCTATTCCTCTCCAGAAGCTTCAGCAGATGTTATGGCACTGTTTATAGTTTGCTCACATCTAAGTTCCTTGTGACCTACAAGAGCTAAGAACAATTCTTCGTAATGGTGACTTAGAGCTGAGGTTCTGAAGATGCATCTATTCTTCCTAAAACTTAATTTGATAATAAACAGAACTACATCTGAAGCCAAATAAGGATCAAGAACACCCCCCACACCAAATCCATTAAAGTGTCCCAGTAACATTTTTAACATTTTATAGTATTTTTGTAGAAGAATCACTTTAGTATATGGCAAAAATAAGTGTATTTTTATTTTACAACTCATACCTTCATCTAACAATAGCAGACGAGGCTTAACTACAGTTGCTAAAAAGAAAGAGAGCTCTTGCCACAGCAAGTACTAATGACAAAAATAGTTGAAAATGGCTGAACTTTTTCCCAATAGAACCAAGACTAAAATGAAGACTGCTAGTAATTTCCCACGTCTCAATGGAGGGGACACTGAAAGTATATTCCACAACAGTAATTTTAATTCAAATGCAATGCAATTGCATTAAACCACCTACAATCTATTGATAGTGTAATGCCAAATCACACAAAAACCAGTTACGAAAACTCTCCCTAACCCTTAGTTTGGGTGACGCAGGACTGTACTGAACCAAACATTACTACATCTGTCAGTATTTGCAGATTCAGGCGCACTCCTCCTCCTATACAGAAACACTTTGGAGAACACAAATGTCTTAAGTGACTAACTCATTCAAAGTTAATTGAAAAACTCAAGTTATGTTTGCAGAGATACAGAATTGCAATCCTGCTCTGGGGTTAAAATTCCAAACAATGCCCTGACACTGCTACATGATTATACGCTCTGCTTGCTTCATACCTGTGTAGGCTGTTGTAACACTGAGAAGCATAATCTCTTTGGTGAAGCTCAGCTTTATAGATTTCTCTGTAAAGACATAATAATGGAAATTAATGTAAACTTCTGATAATGCTATTTAGAGAATCTAAACTGTCTTTTGCTCTTTGCTTAAAGCAAAAATAGGATAAAATTATGCAAACTGTGACTTTATTACAATAAACAGAATGCTAAACAAACCAACCCTCACCTGCCCTTTAAAATAAACGCTGTGATCTGAAGTCTTTTCATAAGAAATGCCAGGGGGAAATATTAAAGAGGGGATATACAGTTTTCAATTAGCAGACAATTTTCTGCTCATTGCGTCTTGTACTCTCAGTTCATGGTGATTGTGTCCCAAAAGGATAAATAAATTCTCAGTGAAGGTTCTCACATTCTCAAAACAAACTTAACAGTCAGAGGCAGACCACATCAACTGCAGATGCTCCAGTTCAAATTTGTTGGTTTTAAGTGGTATCATTTGGTGACAAAATAAAACAACATGTAACTTCTCCATTATCTTGTTATGTTAGTGATTATTTTTCTTCCTTTAAACTTCCATGCACTAGCTTTCTCAAGCGGTGACCTGTTCTTCTGGAGCTCATCTACAGAAGAAAGCTATTGTGAAATAGCTTGGATCTGAAAGGACATCAAGGAAGTACTCCTGGACTATACTAGTATGTAATTGAAGTGAAGTCTGCTTCACCTTCTTGGCTTGTAGTCAAGCTTTGTTTGTATGATACCATCACCTGAAAGGAGCACTTCTGAAGCGCAGACAGCAAGCTCACACTAATCACACATCAACAGTAATTTGCCCACACATTAGTTCAGTGGCTCCCAAGATTTTCAAGCTGCGAGCCCCATTTTCATGGAATTTTTTTCAGAGTTGGAAGGGACCTCTAGAGATCATCTAGTCTGATTTTTCCCTCGGCTCAAAATCACAAATGTTAGCATAGACAACTGAATTCCTATCCGGCTCAAAATTCATCAGTCCGGTGTCCCTGTATGAACTGTCATCTCTGGGCTGAAAACCATTGCCAGCTGGGAGTCAGTTTTCCAAGCACGCCGTCCCTGAAGATCTATATTTGAAATGGAATAACTGAAATGCATTCTTAAGACCTTATTTGTCCACAAATTTTTGTTTTAAGTGATTTGTACATGATCACATTATCAGCAGAATCACGGAGAGCTGGAAAGGATACATCAGGATTTTTTGAAACAACTTTTGTGTGAAACAGTACTTACTGAAGGCAGCCACTGCTCTCGTCATTTTGTTTTGTGCAGACCTGGATAAACGAACGACTCAGTCAAAATGGGAAAAGAATAACCACGTTGTATCGCTATGCTGGAAGGCAGCTTAATTTTTCAAATTTTCTGTACATTTTCTAGCCCAGCATTATATACTGAAATATACTAGAATATTATTTAAAGATTCTGAGAATCTAAACTACTAACTACAACATTTATTTGCTTTCGGGGCTAGTGAACGCCATTAAAAAATTAACCTGCTCAATACAGTCTTTCTTCTGAGCATTTTTAACTTTGACCATTTTTTCACTGGCATACATACTGACATTCTAACATTTTCATTGTTCTTTAAAAAAAGCAAAAATATTTAAACTGATACCTCAGGCAAAACTGTACCAAATCTATGTACCTATACACTTCTAATGTATTTATCAGGGTGGCATATATATATTTAGAGAAGATATGAAAAACATGTTTCAGTATCTAAAAGATAACCTATAAAAAGGGAGTAATTTCTGCTTATTCCAGCCTTTAAACTGGGCTGATAAGGGCAAAACAGACTATGAAAGGCAGATACTTGTCTAATAATAATCAGTGGAGGAAGGAGGTAAATGCTATCTTTCCAAAGGCACTTACTCATTAGTGGAAAAACTTAGGGTGCAGTACTGCACTCCACCCTTGAGAACACGTTATATAAAGAGCATTAATTATCGCTTGTTAGGGTGCAGACACTTTTCTATTAAATCTGTACATTTTACAGGTTGTTCATAACATTTATATGTCCAGTTCAGAGGGCAAATGAATGATGTTCCATTGAAGAGCAGGAGCACAAACAAGTACATGCGACAATATGTTATTGCCACGAGCACTTACGAGCTGTCCCCCAGGATTTCATTAGTAGAATCTTCCTCCCCTGGAGCTTTTGTGTCCTCTTGTTTCCTAATCAGAAAGAACAGAACTGTGCCCACAAGACTGATAACAGTCAGAGCAATGAAGACAGTTCTGCGATCACTCTCTGTGGAAAAACAAACAAGAGTCATAACCAGATGTGCAAAAGCAATTCAAACCAATTCAACTACCTTCCAAGAACTAACACATACTACGTAAGTGTTTAAAACGCATACTAATTTTCTAACTTACCTTTCACGTGGAGCAAAAGGTACCCAGCTGCTGGCAAATTCCTGTCTCAGTTTTATGATGCCAATAAAATATCGGCATAATTAACAGTGTCACTCGCATTTTCTGCCATGCAAAGGCTATGACCAAGGAGGAGCCAATTAAAATAAATTATTAGCAAAAGAAAGTACATCTCTCAAGACTTATATAATTCAGAGTGGACATAGCAAACCATCCCAAAACCCTTCAAAAAAAGCTCTTTACCAGCATCAGAAATATTAGTGCTGTAATGTCATAAACTGGTAGGCTTGTAAAGTACAAACCCCTGAAACCTCGCTGACACAACATACACTCCGCAGCTGGAGGAAGGGAATTGCTGCCCTATGCAGCAGAGCTGCTGCACTAATCAACTTGTCTGGCACAGGCAAATCTGTAATACAAAAGCCACTCCCATTCACAAATATTAAGCGGGGGGGAGGGGGGATAAAGAGCACCAAAAACCATCTAATAGTTGTGACTGAACTAGCGTACGATTCTGAAGATATGGCCTACACTTGTATTTACTTCCCCTTTAGCTTAAAGGCAAACATAAAATTGTTCTACATCAATTAAAAATCTCTGCATTATTACATATCAAAGATAATATGTGCTTCACCTTGAAATGCCTGTAATATTTTTTACATAGGAAGTAAAAGGAAGGAGGAATTGATTTTTAAACATCGCCAAATCATCTGGTATCAACATTTTTTAATCAAGAGGAGCCTCAATACATATTAAGATGTAACAGTAAAAAAGTAACAGTAAAACTCCCTTACAGTTAATTGCTCTATTTTGTGGTTAGCAAGGGGAATGAAATTTAGAAACCACAGAATTTCAGACCCATCAGGTTCAAAGCATCTCCAATACTTTCAATAATATGTAAACCTTTGTTATAGGTGAAGGAATGTGAAAGATGATCTTTAAAAAATGAACCTGTGCTAGACCAAGCCCATGTCTGTGGAGAACCTGGAAAGACTGATCTAGCAGAGGCACGAAGTGGACTATTCATCTCAACAGGGCAGCATTTCTGAAGCCTGATCATCACCATTTAGAAGTCAACATCTTATTCCTGATTGACTACAGCAAAAGTATCCTCATCTTTTGAATGTTAAAAGAACCGAGCATTCCAGTAGATGTTTTACTTTAAGACTACAATAAAGAAAACTTTCATAGTCACTATAGAACAGGACAATTGACCCTGTTTATGTACAAAATCTTGTGTTTCTAGCAATACTTTTTTTTTTATAATTAAAATCTTAATCATTTTGCTCTACTTTCACCATTGCCATTTTATTAGGTGATACACTTACCCACCTTGCCTTGCTTAAACATTTGCCAGAAATCTGTGCTTTAAAAAATCACTTTCAACCACTACTCAGCTTCTTAAGAATATTAAGAAGTCCACTGTTCATTAATTCCTGCTATTTACCAGTCTAGCACAATATTAAACAAAAAAACTACAGTACTAATTACAATCCCACTAGGAAGTTAGTTTTCATGCCAAGAAAGGAAGACTGAGTTCTTTACACACTTCCAGCACGGCTGCCAGTTTAAGAAGCAGCAGCAGCCCACTCTCAGTCCAGCTGCACATCTTGATCTCTGTCTTCCTACACTACTTTGTGCCAGCACAATGATTAATGCAGCCATGGAGTGAACTGGGACAGTTTTCCTTTATTTCACAGGTTAAATCAGTCTCCAATCTGATTTGGAAGGACGATCTACACCAGAAACTTACTTTGGAATGGGACAGCATGTATATTAAACATACAGACATTCCAGAGTACCTTTCCCCCAGATATCCATATTTTGGCACAAGCGTGTCTGCACAGGTCAAAAACTCAGAGCAACTATAGTGGAAAACCTTATTCTAAGCTAGCATTCTGAAGAATTTCATAGACAACATCCTAAAAGAAGGTACTTAAAGTACATTGCGTGCAGGAAAACAACATACATAATACAAGGGCCATGAGTACTGTAGAACACTGAATCAAAACCATATTCCAAAAATAGTCTATCTAACAATAAATTGAAAAAAAATTGTCTGCTATCGTGTAATTTTCTTGCCACTTTCCAGTTCATTATTTCATCTGTTTAGTCATGCTACCACACTTTAAAGGATGGCCTCCTATATAAACAAGCAATACCCACCTGATATGTGAGTTTTCCCTTGCCAAGCGAAGTATATATAGAGGTTTCCAAAAAACAAGCTGTAAACAAAAAGGACAGCAAAGGTGAACAGCACTCTGTAGTAAGATTAAGGTTGTAGCATCACAATAACACTATTCTACGCAAAAAACAGTACTGTGCAATTGTGAAAAAAAATAAAGACACTAGGCACTCTACACGCAAACTGCTTACTCTATATAAAGCTTCAAACACAGCAGAGGATTCTTCCCCATAATGCTGGCTATTCATTTTCAAGAATTAAAACACAAGGGGGTAGCAAAAATGAGGAAATCTGCATCTAAGTTGCCTCACTCTAATTTTGGAAGGGTATAGGTTAGAAAGCTGCTGTATTTGTGGAGATGATTTTGTAATACTTCCTTAGAAAAGCCCCGTGTCTTGCTTGAAGCATTGCCCCAGCAATGCTAAATCAGTTGTTAACAGCTTCATGGAAATTCTGTGTTCCTACCTACAGTTTCCTGAAATACAGTAATTCTGAACGAATAGAGATTCAAAACAGCCTCAGAGTCCTCATACAAAATCACGCACTTTACTCACTATAAAACACACAATTAATTGTGTTTGCAGAAATTGCTACTCTGGTAACATACCAATATGTTAATTCCTGAACCTGAAACTTGATATAAGAAGTATGCCACTGGTTGAGACCAATGTTCTACTAATCCAGTATACTGTCCCCACAACAGCATTAGCAAAGCCATTTAGTGCAGCCTCACCAGCCTAAGCACTTTCTGCAATTCATTCCCCTCATTATCTTCCAATATACAGAACTGCGGTATTAGGGGTGGTACAAGGTATCCCTCTTCAAGAACCATTTGTGGACCTGTTGCCAATAGATTGCTTTGTTCCCTTTTTTGATCTTGGCAACACCATTCACACCCTCCTGTGGCAGCAAGTTCGAGAAGTTTAATCACCCATTGTGTGAAGAAGCACTTTTCTGTTTCAAACAAATCCTCTTCTAGTTTCACCAAGTGACCCAAGTTCTAGTGCAGCAGCATTTGGTGAGCAACAGTCCTACATTCAGCTCTCCTGCTACCTTCGTGTTTTAGTAACCCATCAGTATAATCCTCCTCAGAGGCTGTTTCTCCAAAGGAAAGAGTCCCAGCATTTTCAGTCTCTCTTCAAGTCAGCCGCTCTATCTTCTTGTGCGTTTTCATTACTTTTCCCTATACCCTAATTACACTACACTCTCCAAAAAGGCATAAACCATAGCTGCACAAAATAGTCAATGGCAGCAAAACAGCATCCACTACCTGTCTCAACGCCAAGCCTTTTGTTGACTTTTTCAGTTGATGCAACACTTGAAACTTAACATTAGGGAACTATTAACAACAAAACCTCTTTTCTCACTTCTGACCACCAGATCCAACTTTAGTATCTTCACTTCAGGTTGTCAGCAATGTCCAGCTGCTCCCTCAGAGAAAGAGGGCTAAGGGCCAAGGAGCATAAGACATCCAACAGAGGAGGTACCTCATCAGCTAAGACCAACAAAAGCCAGAGCCAGGCATTCCTCCAACATAGCTCTAGAAGAAGGGAAAGCCCAGGGCTTAGTTTAAATGGGGTTCCTGGTCCCATGGGCACATGGGAAGGGTGTGGTGGAGGTGCCAGGTGAGGCTGTTCAAGGCCATTAGGGCTTATTAGTGCACTCAGGATCCTGACACAAATTAGCACAGTCCTTCACAATCAACAAGATTTCTGTTGCCTATGTCAAATCCGCCCCTAACAGAAATGTATCTTTTTAGCATGTTGGGAGCAGAGGCTTGCAATGTGTAACTTTCATTCATTGTTCTATAATGCAAAACAGCAATGTTGCTTCCAGCCTTCCCTCCCGCTTCTCTGACTGCAAGGTACCAGTGGGGTATTTTTAGATGCAGTCTCCAACTTCTCAAAAAACATAAAACGTAGAATGTGTACACAACTGAAAAAAACATTAACAAATAAAACTTACCTGGACTGTAAGAGTGCCCAAAATACTCCACTGTTCCTTCCAATGGTGTTTTCATCAGAATTTACAGTCAAGCAATTTCCCTGTGCCGTCCAGAGTACTGAAATATATAGAATATATTGCTCAGGAAATAAAAACATTTTAGACATATGTTCAAATGTAGCAAAGAATAGTAAACAGAGTAAAAACAATGCTTACCAGCAGCTGCAATCCCAATAAAAACAGAAGCAGTGTAGAAAGACCATGTAGCAGGTTGGATAAAAACTGCAATGTATAAGCTAGAACAGAACAGATCAGCTTATTGAACATAGACTTAAAGTGGACAATGCTCTTTAACAATCAGATATCTCACTTAGCTTTTTCTAAATCAGCTGCTCTCTCTTAAGTGACACTGAAAAATAGTTAAGGTCACATGTGAAAAAAAGGTAATCTTTTTACTCCACTAAGCATGTAATTTTTTTTTTTTATATAGTCCATTAATCTCAGACCATAACCTGGACTCCACAGTCAGCAAAGTTGGGAAATGCTGTGGAAAAAACACGCTCTGTCTACGTATGCTGAACTACTATGCAGTTACACATGTACTGACACAGACAGTTGCGTGCCTTAGCCAGTACAATTTCATGTATGGTATGGCCGCCTTTGGCATGAAAAAATGAAAAAAAGATTTCAAAGGAAGCAGAAAAAAATTCAAAATTAATACGTACCTATAAAATATGCCACTAACAACCATGGAGAGTTGAGGTCCTACTATCGCAACCACTGAAGGTGATATAAGATTTGATGCAGAGAATACTCCATAAATAATGGACATGCTACATAAATAAACACCAAAGATGATTAAGTACTTAAGCTAAAATATAGGGCATAAGTTCAACTGATTTAAGAATACTCAGCCGACTCCAAAGTATCAAGTTAAGTACACACATAACCTAAGTAACTGCATAACTTTCATGGTCAAACATTTCCTTCCCTTCTTCTGTTACCTTCACCCATGCACTCCATATGGGAATACGGGAGTGTACAGTGTTTCCTGAATTGCTGAATAGAGTTCCAAACTACTGCAGGCAAGCACACCTTGTAATTTACAACACGCGTTTGTCAAACTGTGCCTTAACAATAGTTATTGTTTGTGCCCAGTACTTCTGGAGGAGAATATTCCAGAGTCTCATTCGTCTATCGGTGACATTTTCATTTTCTGCCACAGGCATTTTATAGATATATTTTGTGCCAGTTGTATTTTTAGTTTAAATTAAGACAGTAAACCCTTCAAAGCATCAACCAGGTTTTCCTATATGACAGCTTAATTTGGCGTACAAAAGGTCCCTCATCATGCTTGGCGAGTTTGGCTATGCCAGTGAAATAAAGAAACAGAATGGCTTTTTGTGGCTTTGCTTCTCATCTTTCTGATTGCTCCTTTCACATTTATGCTGCAGTATTTCCTGGAAGTTGATCCACACCACCTATCCTACACAAACACACAGAGGTGTACAAGGGCAAACAACCAAGGCCTTAGTTAGCAGTTTTATTTATTTTAAAACTTCTACATTCTTCACCTTCTAAGATAAAATGCTGAGAATGTGATGACATATGGTGTTTTTTCTCCCTACAAAGAAAAAATGCAAAACAGACATGTAGTTCAACTAGAAATAATTCAGAGTAGAACTGGAATGAATGTGATAAGCCCATGTTTTAAGCTGCTTTAAGTACGTTATTAAATTGTGAAGTCAGCAGAACACTGCAATCTCTTGAAAGTATATCTCTACCAGATGGAATAATAACTAGCTTCACCCTGCAAGAAGCACAGTAATAAGAAGATCTGTGTGAATTACCTTGTGTAGCCACTGCCATGAAAATCCGTGTTGTTTAAATTTGTGATAACAGTTTGCTGTGAGGAGAAAATCATATGTTGTAATACATTAGCATGTATCTTGCAGTTTGAGAACACTTGCATCAGTTTGAAGTCAGTACTAAATGTTAGAATTAATCATTAATAAACTCTACAAAGTACTTAAGATAATTCAAAGTATTATAACTCACAGCACCTCCACAATGAAGGTGAAGGAGACACTTGGCAGGGAAGCATCTATGTTTGAAGCAGTAATTAGTACCTTACTATCATGATTTCATCAGGCACCTTAAAATATTTCACAAAACTTTTTGTTTCATAAAACACCTATCTTAGGTAGATATGTATAACTACCTTAATTTAAAAAGTGAGGAAAAAAGAAGTTTCAAAATAATTTTAATTTGACCTAACTATGAACTTATGATAAGAGTTTCCGTTCTTTTCAGTTTCCCATTATTTCCCTGTTCCTTTTTTTTTTTCCCTTGAATCAGCATTAGTGATCATGAGACCATGTAATTAGTTGGATTGGCAGGCAGACCTGATTGAAAGTCACTTGTAACAACTTTAATGACAATAAATTACAGGATTTCATGATCACCAGGTCCAATTCAGTGAGGTGCTGTGCCTTCATTGCAGAACTTCTAAGATCACTGGGCTGTACTTATGTACTCATGTACATTATCATGCTGCACGATGACTTTTAGAAAAACCATCCTAAGCAGTTATTTCTATACCACAGTGAAGGACATTTATATGTCTGAAGCCAGAAAAGATTCTTCTTGCATGCAAGAAAAGAGAAGCTGTAAGACCTGTAGGCTGAAGAGCTATGTTGAAATCTAACTGTCCTTCAGGCATATAACTAATATCGAAAGCAACGCCAACAGCTCAGTGAGCTAGAGGATCTGGGCTCAGTATGTCAGCAGCAGGATTCTAAAAATTTAAGTAGTAAGAGTACAATCTGCTTTTAATAGTAAATTTGGATTATGTTATGCCCAATTTTGCTTTCGCACACATACAGGATACTAAAGCAGTAAATTAATCAGATGGAAGTTGACTTGGCAGTTCTAGCAATTGTGGAAGTCTGACTACTTGTCAGATGTTATCATCATACTCCCCCTCAATGTCTAGTTTGTTAGAACAGGAAAATATGTTAGATTAGGAAAAAAACTCTACAAAAAACTAGAGGCATGGTTAATAATAACAGCTTAGGGAAATATTTTGAAAGGGACTATATAGAATAATCAAAAGTATGGAAGGTCCAATGTAATTCCATTGTTAACTATTGCAAGTGTCAAAACAGACACTATTTTCAAAGTTCAATCATTTGATCGGACTCCTTAATTTTCTACTTTCTAAGCAATCAGGCACACTTACATATGTAGCTATGCTAGCTTAAAGAAATAAACTGCTTAATTATCCAGTTAACCAACTTAATCTAGTTAACCCTAAACCAAAAGAAAGGGGACAAAATGTCAAGGCGTCTTGCACATTAAAAAATCCCAAGTAAAGCAACTCTTACATCAGAGTACACCAAAGACAAGAAAGGATGAATAACTATCATTGAAATGTGGCATGTTTTGAAATTCACACCTACCGCAATATTTCCACATGTTTGAAAAGCAGTGAATATAAACATAAATGAGACTCCCAAAATAATTATGTTGAAAAGTTTTTTTGATTCAGGAGACATTTTGTGTTTTCTTGCCAAGTCAACTTCAGGCTGGAAAAACTCCTATTTTCTTTTAAAAGTTTCCTCTTAACCTCTGTTAAAAACAAACAGCAAAAACAATAAAAGAAAGCTTCAAAAATGAGAATTACTTAGAGCTACTTATCAGCTGCTAGAACATCACCATCAACTAATCAAGACACAGGTGACTCTTAAATAACGTACAGCAAAATCAGTAACTCAAAAAACCAAACCGAAACAAAACAAAAAGCAAAACCAAAGCCCAAACATAAAAGTCACAACCCCAAAGATAAAGGTCTGGTACAAAAGATTCTCTCTACCTTTTCCCATGAAGTTAACAGAGCAGACTGCAGTATGTTACTTCTTCACGACATCTCTTTCCCCCAGACGAAGCAGTTTTCCAGGTACTGAGCTAGTTAATCATCTCGGTTTCTTGCCATTGTTCTAAATCAGAATTCTGGTCCAAAGCCTTTAAATCACCTGACGAAGGAAAGATGAGACATTCGTACACACCAGTCATTTCCATGAACGTTGGACAGGAAATAAGGAACATTTCACAATCTAGATCAGCTGACCCAGCCTAGAAAGCCCTTGTGAACTATGGGAAATGCAGTTTTAGGAAAGTACACTTTTTCTACTTGAAAGAAAGAATCTCCTAATCCTTAAAATAGAAAGATTTGTACTAGTTTTTAAGAATTATAATCTCTATCCCCTAAATAATACCCAGCAAGATTAAAAAAAAAAAAAAGTCTTAGAAAGTCACCTAAACAAGCTGTCTAATTAGCTGAATTCAAACACACAAATAGTCATTACAAAGGGAAAATGATTCCCACTTGTGAGAAACTAAGTATCTCAGTGTCACCAACACACGTGCACTGCACAGCGCTTCTGCCTTTCATTGTCTCGGTGACTCAGGAAAGTCTTCATAATCTTTCACTGCTTTGTCTCAAGGAATAACATTCATTTTTAGTAATTACATACCTTTAATATTTTACGTCACAGTATGTCTAAATAATAAATTTAAGATCAATTGATCTTTTAAGTTTTGACGATCTCTCTTAAAGCATCAGCAAAACTGAGAGAGGATCACATATCTTGTATCGACTGATTGGCGGCTTTTTACTGTTACTATGCTGTGCCTATCCCGTTGGGCCTCCAAGTCAGGATTGGAGCATTTGGCTAAATCAGCTCCACTTAACTGAGGACCAAAGAGGACGGGAAGGGAATACAGCATTGACTGAAGTAAATCATCAAATTTTACCTCTGCTATCTACAGTAAAGGACTTTTAAACAAAATACATAGCCCAGCTATTGTTACATATTTAACTCTTTTTTAACTCCTGAACTGTATTTTCTAAAAATGTAGATTTATTTATTTATTTTTCACTTGTGGAAGAAAGTCTGTATGATTAGTCAGAGGCTGCTTTACAGAGACCCAACTAGAATACCAAGGGTTTGGTTTTGGTTTTTTTTTTTTAACACAAGCAAGCTCTCTTCTTCCTTTCCTATATTATGGATTTATAGTAACAGGTTTTTAAGATCCTCTAGGCACCACTTCCCACTCCCACCTTCTTCCCCTTGGGCCAGCATAAGCATTCATAGCAAACTGGGCTGGTGTGCCGGACCAATTCTTTCTGCAGCCACCTGTATTGATTTGAAGTGTCTGTGAAACTATTGAATAAGGGACACAGGAAACTCCCTCCATCATTTTAGGGAAATCATTGTAAATATAAACTTCAAGTTTCTCCTTAGAGAAAGGGTTTCAGCAGATGAATAAAAGTTTTAATCAAAACTCTGGGAAAAAATAACAAACAATAAGCATGAAGCAATACGAAAGGCACAGTACTAGTTAATTTTATTTCTTAAGTCTTTTGTAGCAGGAAACAAACTGTTGCTTCTGGGTTTGTATTGATATCATTGCTTCTCTTGGTACTTCTTCAATACAAAAAATATTACAGTAGGAATACAACGTTCTAATACTTAATTTGCTGTCTCATACGATACTGTCATTGCATTTAACAAATCAGTAGAGAACTGTCTCTTGCTTATGTTTTTTTAACATAGTATTACAATACAGATGGGTAGAAATATTTATCACTGTTGCAAGATGAGAACTAGGCATTATAGTTCCTACGTGGAGTTTGGGTGTTTCACTCAGAGCAACAACTTCTGGGATGGGGGGGTAGCTTTCACCGAATTCCCTAGACAAAATTCAGGGAATCTGCTTGCCACCCTTACGCAAGGGCTGTGCTAATCCTCACCCTTGCTCCCGTTTTATCACGCACGCTGCCAAAGCGCGAACTTGCAGAGAGCGCTGTGTGTAAAGGAGGACTTCTAACCTTTTCCAGCGCGGCTCAGAGCTCCCTCACAGGCGATGGGGGGGTAGCTTTCACCGAATTCCCTAGACAAAATTCAGGGAATCTGCTTGCCACCCTTACGCAAGGGCTGTGCTAATCCTCACCCTTGCTCCCGTTTTATCACGCACGCTGCCAAAGCGCGAACTTGCAGAGAGCGCTGTGTGTAAAGGAGGACTTCTAACCTTTTCCAGCGCGGCTCAGAGCTCCCTCACAGGCACCCC